ACACGATGACACCTAGTGACAAGGATGAAAGGTATGGTTTCCCTCAAACATTCTGTCCCTCAGGCGAACCAGTATTGCTCATTTTGTCAGCTAAAAGTGATCAGATAGTTAGCCTTGCCTTAAAGAAATTACTAAATCAGTAAAAATTACTGTCTTTTGAAAGTTGGGCATAGTAATGTATGCTGGTAATTCCAGCATTCAGTAACCTGAAACAGGAAGATCAAGAGTTTGAAGCTAGCCTGGGCTACATAGTGAGTCTCTCAAATAAATGAATTTAAATGGGATGGAGATTTAGCCTAGAAGTGTTTAACTAGAATGTGTGAATCCCTGGGTTCAATCCCCAACACCTCATAAACAGGGTTTTGTGCTGTCTGCATGCCTATTATTCCAGCACTCAGAGGTGGAAGGAAGAGGATTAGAAATTTAGTCCGTTTTGGCTACATAGTTTGAGACCAGCCAGGGATTCATGAGACCCTACAAAACCAAACGACATAACCAAAAACAAAACAAAGTTCATTGTGATTTTATTTGAAATTGGCTCTGATAAAACCCTTCAGAAAAGGAATAGGAACAGTATGAAGATTAAGAACAGTGGTTCTCAACCTTCCTAATGCTGTGACCCTTTAATACAATTCCCCATGTTGTGGTGAACCCCTCTCCATAGAATTATTTTCATTACTACTTCATAACTTATGAATTGTAATGTAAATATCTGTGTTTTCTGGTGGTCTTAGGTGACCCCTGTGAAAAGGTCATTCAACACCTACCCCCACCCCCATCATGACCCACAGGTTGAAAACAACTGGCATCAGTTTTTTAAATATCTAATTTTTCTCTTTAGTTCTCCAGGTTTTTCTCATGAAGAACCAGATGACGTCTGGTAATCATATTAGCTGCCTAGCTTCTTACTTAGAAGAAGTTGTGTAATAGTATTCTTACTTTTCTGTAATTAAAATTGTCAGAAATTTTGTGTGTAGTGATTTTTTTTTAACATGGTTTTAGCTGGGCGTTGGTGGTGCACGCCTTTAATCCTAGAACTCGGGAGGCAGAGGCAAGCGGATCTCTGTGAGTTCGAGACCAGCCTGGTCTACAAGAGCTAGTTCCAGGACAGCCTCCAAAGCCACAGAGAAACCCTGTCTCGAAAAACCAAAACAAAAAAAAACCATGGTTTTAATTTGGTACCATAATGTATGAAACAAATAACAGAGTCAGCTGAACCTTTCCACCACCCTTTTTCTTTTTTGAGACACTTCTGAAATCCTGGCTGGCCTTGAACATGCACAGATTTGTCTGCCTCTGCCTCCCTTTTAAGGCATACATTGCCATCCTCTCATTATCCGTGGAATTTATTTATTACACTAAAATGACACTCCTCTCCTGGTTTTGTCTTAAGTTATACCTATTTGAAAACTTATTTTGTCAGGCTGCAGGCCTGCATTTCCTAAGTTTAAACTGTGTGCCTTCTGCTCCACACTTAGGCTCTGACGTGTAAAACAGGAAGCCATCCATCCAGCACAGTTTTCTCCCTAGTCATGAACACAAAGTTTTCCATTGTAATGTCTATAAATAATATTTTACCATCTACTCTGGTTAAATGTGTGGGTCCTCCAATACTCATATGTTAGAACGTAAACTGTAGTGTGATGGTATTAGAAGGTCGTCCTCTAGGAGATGATTAAGTCATGAAAGCAGAATCCTCGTAAATGGAATGAATGACCTTACTATAGGCCCATTTGCCTCTCACCTTTTTAGAGAGACAGCAATCACCTCTTTCAAAAGTACCAAGAACTTCACCACTAATCCAAGGCCTAACCCTCACCAATCACTGAACTTGTCATCACTGTTATTGAGCTTCTCAGTCTCCAGAACTGTAAAAACAAAACAAAAAAACCTCAGACTTATCCAAGCAGTGGTGGTGCACACCTTTAATCCCAGCACTTGGGAGGCAGGGGCAGGCAGATAGATCTCTAAGTTTGAGGCCAGCCTGGTCTACAAAGCGAGTTCCATGACAGCCAGGGCTACACAGAGAGACCCTGTCTAGACAAAACAAAAACAAAACCCCCCAAATTTACTTCTTTATAAGTTATGTGGTCTAAGATATTTTATAATAGGCATAAGCCAACATCTTTATGGTAGTATCCTTGATCCTTATTTAAAATGTTGATTTTTATTTACAATGTTGATTTTTAAGTATGTAGGCTTCCCCTGTAACTTGACTTCATTTTTTTCCCTCTGAGACAGGGTTTCTCTGTGTAACAGCTCTGGCTGTCCTGGAACTCACTTTGTAGACCAGACTGGCCTTGAACTCACAGAGATCCACCTGCCTCTGCCTCTCGGGTGCTGGAAATAAAGGCATTAACCACCAGCTGGCTCATTCAACTAAAATGTTTTACAAGAGGTAATTGGAAAAACCTATGCCCTTTGGAGCTTTCTATGTTTGATTTTGTCAATTAAGACTGCTTGTGATTTTGTTAAACCATTAGAGTTTATTCAGGAGGTTCCTGTGGCTTATCCAATGACACAAACTGCAACCTAAGCAGAGAAGGTATTAAGTGAGACAAATTTCATTGCATTTGGGCTCCTGCTGTTCTGCAGTATATGAGTGAGAGGTGCAGTGATCAAGTGTCAACACCTCATATAGAGATTATTGTGTCCATAATGCCCAAAGGCTGGGCCTTACTAAGAAAGGTCAGGTGTAGACAATCCAAATGCATAATTATAAAGTAATGTTTGAAATTATAGAATGAAATTTCAAGTAACAAATTTAGTGCTGCTGCTTCACAGAATAACTATTAGAATTAGATTTCATTTTATATCCCCAGATCTTTTCCTCTAGACTTTGGGTTTGAAAATGAGTCAGCAGCGTATAGACCCTTACTATACTTTGCCCAAGATTAAGCTATGTGTTAATCCTGTAGGTAGATGGCTTTTTATTAGAGAAACTAGTTATGAAAATCTTGTGCCTTTCACAGACCTCTTAAGTGCTAGTGGCATTTTATACAAAATACAGCCCAGTGGGTTATAATATTTCCTCAAATTGCTCTTGCTAAAAACAGTTTTTTTGTGTGTGTGCAAAATAAAACCTGTAGCATTCTCCCATGGACTGCATTTCTTTACCAACGTGAAATTTTGAATTATATTATTTAAAAATGACACCGTACTGCGAACAGAGAAAGATAGGATTTATGTATGGTAAAAAGACAAGCAAATGAAGCTATAATTTTATTTCATTACTCTTTAGTACATCCACAACTATTTCCACCTAAATAGATCTTTAAAATAAGCATACACAAGTATTGACTATTATCTACAAATATTTATTGTAACACTTGAATAGAACTACAGGAAGCCCTTGGCACTGATAGAAAATATTGATTCACTGTTAGGGTACAAAAATTTATACATAGCAAAATTTAATGCTCTTTACATAAAAAATATTAGACTACTTCAACAAAACTTTCATAAATTCCTGGCAATAGCTACCAGAATTAGAAAAGTAAAATTAGGCTTTAGACACTGCCTCTTCTAGAACACTGGACTCTAACAGCACCTCCACTGCTGGAAAAAAATATTGAATTCTGTCATGCAACAGGAAAACAAAACACTAAGCTATCTTGGAACAACTGTTCTACAGAGAAGAGAGCGTCTCCCAATTAAAAAGAATCCAAATAGGCGGTTTTCGGCATTGACCAAAAGAAAAAATCCAAATGAAATACGATAGTTGATGTTCGATTTTAATAGCATCTTGATAAAGGTATGCTTCCTTTCATTTGAATACATTTCTGCACATGTATATGTTTTAAAATCCAGGAAACAGCCAAACCACAAGGTAACTCTTAACATGAATATACATAGTTAACCCTATAGTATGCAGCCCCTTTGAAAAGCACTGATGCACCCCACAGTTATATGGATCATTCCAGAAAGAACAACACAAAGCTTACCATCACTAATACCCAGTACCTATTAGTCACTTAATGTTCTGGAACACAATGAGTTAGAAGGCAAGTTTCTTTTGAAAATGGCTTAAACTCAAGCAGTTTTCTTGCTGAACATCAAACATTATTATTCCAGGAAATTAAGATTTAGATAAGAAAACAAACAAATACCAACCCTAATTTAAATTACTTATGTATTAAAGTCTATAAAAGTAGGAGGTCAGAGGTCTGTGGTCAATTTGCAGTTAGGTTTTAGATAGTTGATATGAAACTGTAAACTCACTGTCCAGACCACTTAAGATGTTTTAGAATGGTGGTCATTTTAACAAGGTAACACTTCTTAATTAAGAAAAATATTCATGGAACAGAAGTCTATGAAGGAATTTTGGGTCTCTGGTTACAATATAAATTCTTAATAATTTAAAGCAAATATTAAGGCAGAGCTGACATTTGTTTCCAAACAAGAAGGGTGATTACTGAATCGTCACTATCATTTTGTTACGATGTGAGCTAATATAAAGTTGATTTTGCAGAGCTCGAGTCTGAATCCAGCTTCTGCACTGATAAATTTAGCGTAATTGCAGCTCATTTTAGCATTACTGAATGGCATGGGAAACGAATGAGTGAGACTTTGGGGATGCTAATTTTTACAAGTTTGAAGGAATCACCTCTTTGATGAGCTAAAGGTTAATAAAGGTCAGCTATCAGAAATGAACTTCACACCAATTCTATTTTGATAACACTCGAGGACAGGTGGCATATGTAAATCTAGAGTCACATCCTTTGATACTGGCATGCCACAGGTCCCTATCAAGGAGCATGATGTAATTCCATTGCCTGTGTTAGAACTGCTCTAACAATTAAGTGCACATGCCACAACTTTCCAAAGGATGAACGGTCATTCTGTCAAAGTGTTGCCTTTTAAAATGGCTAACATGAAACCTCCAATATTTGTTCTAAAGAAAATGATTTGCCCACTGGAAGGTTTTCCTAGAGATCCACCCCAGCAGCTTGAGACAGACAGTGAAATGTTGGTATGTCTACATTAGTTTGGTGGGATACACATCTGTACTGCAGAGCAGCTGTCTGATGATTTGTCAGAGCTGTAAATTCGTCGGCTGACACACTCTGGCAAACACTTCTAAGTGTAAGAATTGAGTTGTTCTTTTGACCGAGACTGGATATCTTGCAGTTCCTGTTCTTCCTTTGCTTTGATATCCTGGTAAGCCTGCATTTTGCTTGCATCCTTTAAGTAAGCCCAGTTAGAAGACAGTATCATGAGGAAGTGGATCTGGAAGAGAAGGGTGAGCATGATGGCTAGTGAGCATGTGAGAAGGCAAAGCGAGCTGGTAGTCAGATTAGACGGATCGGTTGGAGAGGGGCGAGGGTTATTCGCTATTAATGCTCTTCTCGAAGCAGAGCTGTCAGAGGCACAGCATGCTCTACTAGTTGGCTTCATACTAAGAGCTGAAGACAAGTTAGTATGCAAATATAGTAAACTTGGGAATAAAATGGCCAAAGTTATTGTTAAAGAAGTCAAAATGAAACATGACAGTGCTTTTTACCTTCTTGAGAGTAATTTTAAAGACAAATGCAGAAGCTCAGAAACATTGCCTTTTAGGTTTAAAAGTCTAGGGCCAAGACTTAACTGTGGGTAAAGAAAGATTCCCCAAAGGCCTACAAGTGTGAAAAATGTTTATTTTTGAGTAAATAATTATAGAATTGTATATTGAATGTGGAAAAATTGAATGAATGTCAAAACCAAAATTAAAAACTAAGTATGCACTCTGTATGTTTAACACATTTTTAGTAGTGAAAACTGTTCTTTTATAACTGCCTTTACTTCATATCCTCTAAGTTCATTTCACATAAAAATCCTTATCATTCTTTACAGTTTATGTGGCACACATATCCTTCTCATGTATTTTCCTACTGCCTGAAACAAATCTACACAGCTCAGTTTCCTTAAAAGCCATACTTCCTTCTCAACGTATATGAGACCTTCAGAGATCTGGGCCCAACTTCTCTTCCCATTTAAAATCTTACATGCAACTTAAGAACCTAGTTATGAGGGAACAGTTACTATTCAGCAAGACAAGTTACTAGTTTTGTGGGTTATAAAGACGTGACTATTATGCCAAAAATATTTAATCATTTTTCAGAGTGACACCCTTCTTCAAATTTTATCTGGTCTACTTGAAAGGGCATTTATTTGGTTATGAACAAACCATGTGATATAAAAGCCTTTTAAATGGAATTTAAAATATGCTTGCAAAGTATTTTCTAGAAAAGAGAATAACAAAATGAAATCTAGGTTATAACTTTTCCATCTTCAGCACTTGTTTTTCTTTTCCATCATTAAGGCTGGTTATCAAGCAAGCAAAAATAATGGAAAATGCAGTATGTCAACGTGTTAATACTTCATTTAGAGGTACTGCTCCAAGTTTAAGTTCAAGAAAATTATTTTTCAAAGAATGCTCACCAGTATCAGTAAATAACAATCCTTTTCAAACTGTGAAATAGCCAGACCCCATTCTTTTGTATTCTTTTGTAATCCACGTACAGTAAGTCATATTATTTAGTCTACCATGCAAAGTGGGTTAACTGAAGCTATTTACAAATTACTGTAGCAAAACTGTAGAAAGCTAGACTCTGATTTAGTCTGGAGTGTCAGTGATATTCATGCTACAGAGCCGAGCTCTCTAAAGCTCCTTATCAGCCTTATGCAATTTAGAACTTAGTGCAGCAATCTTCCCGACTCTTAAACTTCAAAACCGCATAGTTATATGTAGTAGCCATCATGTAGATCAGCTGGTGGAAGAGAACAAAACAGGAGAGTAAGATACAGGCAGTGGGGGGCCGATGGTGCGACACCTCTAAACTGGGGCAGGCCATGAGTGCCAGCTCACAGTCTACGGGCTTTCTCCCCACCTTCCAATCAAAGCAGATGATTTTTCTCATCTAGCACATGACTTTTTTTCTGATCACACATATATAATGTAAGTCCTTGGCTCTGTCCTCAGTAAGCTTATTAAAAAGCCTTGGCTATGGTTCAAGAATAACAAGAGAGAGAGCTGGGTCAGCAGTATGAGAGATGAATCTCACTGCCCTATTTCTTCTCATCTTTTCCAAACTGCCTGCTCAGCAGCAATTAGTCTTCTTCCTGCCTGTTGTTCAGCCAAGAGAACAGGTCACCATGGTGATTTCATGGGAAGGAATGACTTCATGGTTAGGAAAACTGGGGATTGGCCATCCTCAAGCAGCTGAAATCTCCTTGCACTCCCAATCTTTGATTTGTTTTT